AAACACTAAAATAAACTACTACTTACTACTTGTACTACTATTCCTACTTCGTGGTTTTTCACTTATTGCGGGGGCTTCTGGGTACGGATCCCCTGCAATAAATGAGGGACTACTGTATTTAGCTTTTCATGGCTTTGTGCATTTATCATTTATTCATCAAACTAGTGTTAAAATTATTTTCATGAATTTTCTCATAAACTGTACATTCACGCTGAACAAGTGTTTTTTTTTTTTTGTAAACTGGTTGACCTTGATATTAAACAATGTCACTCTTACTGACAGCAAATCAAAAGGAAGGTGTTTTTTTTTGTTTGCTTCCATCAAACCTGCAACTTGACTAATTGTGTATGCAAATCAGCTCATTTGCATTGAAATTATGCATTTCCATTGTGATCTCCCTCAGGCCCATGAGGCAAGGGGAAGCAGCAGGACACCGTGCAAGGTGCTTGAATATTTATCACCAACTGTAAACATTTTGCCCATTTCAAAATACTCTATTGTATTAAAAAGCATATTTTGCGGCCCTTCTCGGGTCGCTTCGCCTCAGCGACTGAAGAGAAAAGGAAAATATCACAGAGAAGAAGGCAGAAAAATAGTGCGCCCCATTTTATTTTTTTCATGCAAGAAATACAAACAGCTTGATGTCTAATAAAGTGGATGAATTACTAGTTTTCAATATCAGAAAGAACATGTACTTCTATAAAGACAGATATTTTCTTTCTCTATTGTGATTGAGCAAAATTTTTAAACCAGTGGAGTTTTGTCTTTATCTTGCTGCGCTGACTGAACTCGTGGAAATTACTCGGGTGCCTGGAGATATATGCCGTGCGCATTGAATTGTGATTACACACCGAACGCTTCAGATGGAAGATCGATCAAAGCTGGCGAGGGAAAGGATAGTGGAGAGCAGCCAGAGTCCCGATGGTGTTACTCAATTCAATTTAAATGCATATTACTTGTTCTGAGTATCACACACATCATGCATGGTCAAGCAAGGGGACAATTTCTTTTCTCCAACTAGCTTAAAAGGCGCATATACTCCGTCACTAGCGGTGAATACAAAGTGGATTCCTGAAGCATTGGACTCTTGGAGACAATTCTCTTTGTTATTTTCAGGACAGCGGTAACGATGAGTGCAGATCTTTGCTCATGTTTTAAATTCCTTTGATGATTTTTAACAAGCTGACTTGGTTTTCTGATAGGTTTAGTCAAAATCCAACAGAATTACAGCACTCTTCTGCATTTTGTCTTTAGAGCCGATTTCTGTGAATACGAATTATTGGAGCATAATGAAGAGAGTCAATGATGCTCCTCTCTCCTCAGTTGGATGGTTTTACTAAAACTAATTACATTCAGTAACTCATGAAACATTTGGAACAGGGGTGCACCGATTTGCAGTTTTCTGGCCGAACACCAGTCACAATTTCTAAAAAGTCTGACCTGCTGATTCCGATTTTGGCCGATTCCGATTTTGTTTTATAAGCGACACTGTCAGGTGTTATAAAGTCACAATGCACCTTCAATTTTCCAATCCTATTTTATTGCAAAATGTACCCTTGAACAATATCCTAGAAACAATACAAACTTGTTTTAACTGGCCAAGAGGTAGTGCTCTGAAATATAAATGAAGTTTAGACAATTGTTGTTAAAACTACACACACAAAAAAAAAATCAGTAAAATCTGTTTCTCATGTACAGTAAGTATCAGCTGATCTCCGATCTCCCAAAATGAAGGAAATTGGGGCCGATTTATTGGTGCACCCCTAATATGGAACTAATTGAAAATGATACACAGTATGTATAATGAGCTTAACAGTTCATAACACCAGAAATCCAAAGGTGAGCTCAGATTATCACACAGCAAAACAACAGACGGGCAGTTTTATTTTATTTTTCAGTTGTATTTCTTTTTTCTGACATTTTAAGACCATTTTTGTATGTTTGTCAGTTTTAAGAGGCATTAAAGTGACCAATGAAGGCAAATGATAAAAACAGTTTTATTTTTTGTCAGCTTAATTTACTGATAAACTAATTGAGTTTTTTTTTTCTTTTCAATTTACAGGTTCACTGAATTTCTGTATGAATCTTCTGACTTAATATTGTCTTATAATGGTTTTCCCATCTGGGGGTTTGAACTATATAAATTTCAGTTTCCCATTGAATCCAGCATTACAGTAGCAGGCATAACAAAAACAGTAGTTATTTCCATAAAATTAACCCATATAAATACATTTTTAATAATTGCCACTGAAATTTCTAGGACAAAAAAAGGTTTAAGCTTAGACTTTACAAAACTGGTGACTGAAGAAGAAATTTGGATGGAAGAGCAACTAGCGTTATGTAGCTAAAGGTTTAGAAGTGAGGTGATGTGTTTAAATAAACTGAATCTTCTGGGTGCTAGTCTGAGCTTCTCCTTTTAAATATTTCTAAGACCCATTTGTGTGCATCTCTGAAGCTACATTCTCAAAAAACACACTAGTACTGTAAGTATAGCATTGAGATTTATTAAGTTTTACTCCTTAATTGTTTTTGAAGACGCACCACCCGTTCATTTTCATCTACGTGAACAAGAAGGCCTTGAATTCTAAAGAGAAGCGGGTCGGCCGACTGCAGAGATAAACACGTGTGATGATCAGAGACATAGAAGCGCTGCTTACTTACCAGCTTTCTTCCAGATCTCTTCGGGGACGTAGCCAGAGACAGGTCGATGAAGCAGCTCTCTGTGAATTTCTGTAGGAAAACATGACAGAAATCAACAACAGTTTTGCGCGACATAATGCAAGAAAACAGTGTTTCACAAATCATCATGGTGCTACAGTAAAACTTGTAATTTCTATGATTGTTCATTCAAAACTTTCAGGCTAACCATCTAATTAATTGCCTGTACCTGAAACTCACTGGGATGCTACTTTTACATCAAGTTGACATCATATAATTGTGAGACAATGAGCAAAATTTCACTTGGAATCATGCTGAAATTATACTAATGACTCAAAATTTGGGCCACAATTCTCTAGGAGTTCTCAAACATACAGCTCAAATTTGTTGTCATTTAGTCCCAACGTGGCTTCATTATGTCTCAAAGAGTGTGCAATTCGTTCTCATTTTATGTGCACTTCATTGCACTCCCAAGACACCTGTAATATCAGGTTATCTTATATATATATATATATATATATATTTGTTTTTTGTCTCCAGTCAGCCACAGTTCTGTTATATAGTAGTCCCTTGTTTATCATGGGGGATCCATACCCTGAAGCCCCACGATAAGTGTGTGTGTGTGGGGGAAATAAAATAAATAAATAAATAAATAAATAAATAAATATTTGTTTATTCATTTACATTATATGTATTAAGGTGTTTTAAACCCTTCCCACACTCTTTAAATATTCTAAACAATGCTTCTAAATGCTCTAAAAGAACACAGAATGTCATGATTTCAGCTCCCTGCCTCCGCTGCCCTTTGCCACCTGCAAGCGCTTTTGGCCACGCCCACTTCTCCGCTCTAAACAGAAAACAGCTGGTCAGCTGCAGCAGGAAGTTTATCCTGCAGTGTGGGCTGCACAAATGTGCAGCAGGTGCTAAATAATTTAAAATAAATTATTTTAAATAAAAATTCCAAGCTGATCGTGCAGCTCATCCATCAATCAGCCAACGGTGTGTCATGTCCAATCTTATTTTGAATAACCACGATAGAGCGAGTCCGCGATAAACGAACCGCAAAGTAGCTTGGGACTACTATATTACCAATTTACAAACATTATTAAAATTTCAGTGATTGAAAAGCAAGTTTTTGCTATTCAAAGTAAGAAATTAAAAACTGTTGTTAATGCTATTCACATTTTATTGCCAAGAGTCACACGCAGTCCATTGAGATACAAACTAAAGTGGGATTTTTATAGACTAGATTAGAGTTTAAGTGAACAGGCAGTACAGGCAGCTCTGCCTGCTGGTGCATGAAAAATATGGAGTTAAGTCTTATGATAAAGTCTGAACCTCGAGGCATTTGATGTTAAACAATGCCCCTAACTTAGTGTGGTACAAGCAAAAAATAAAAAACTAAGGAAAACTATTTTTAATATAACAATTTTCAAGGTAGCCTAACAATATTCAATAATTACCATCTTAATAACTTTAGTGGGAGGTGAAATAAAGGAACACATGGACTGAATCTTTCCAACACTTCAGGGCTGTAGTTTTTATAAGCTTAATTGTGCATTTTTTTTTTGGAGCCATGTTTTCTTAAAGATTTGTGCGGTGCAGGTGAGTTCCTACCTGTTGTGGGGTTTTCCTGAGCCGCGGGGCTTTGCTGCCTGGACTGCCCACTAGCAGCACCCTTCTTCAGCTCTTCAGCGTCGCTGTATCGTCTAATCCAGTAGTTGAGTTCCTCGCGATCGGCCTCCTGACACCTCCGCAGCACCGTCAGCGAGCGCCTCGTTTTCTCCACCATGTCCATTATACAGTTCAGCAGCTGGGGGGTGGGGGGGTGACAAGAGGCAGACACAGCTCTGAGTTTACAAGTACACGTGAGGGTTGGGTTCATTTAAATAAAGCAGTTGTGGAAAATAAATAAAACATCTGTTGTGTTACTGGGTAGTGTGGTTGTGGAATTAGTTGTCGGGTCACACCTCCCCAGCAGACACTGTCTCTTCACTTAAGCCACACTCATACAAAACATTTGTGCTCACATGATGTCACAGGCTGATTTAATTATTAGTTCATAACATCAACAATGAATTTAAAAAAAACAATCACAAAATTTGACACTAGAAGTGAGAAGTTTCTACTAACAGAAAAGTTACCGTATTTTTTTGGACTATAAGGTGCACCGGATTATAAGGGGCATTAAGCGAAACTAAAACATTTTGACAGATTCTTGAGCAAAAATCCACATAAAATCGGTTCGAGATCAGTAAGCACAACTAGAATGAATAAATAAGGTGTACCGAATTATAAGGATTGATTTTCGAGAAAATTAAAGGATTTTACGTGCACCTTATAGTCTGAAAAATACGATATATATGGCAGCTTCTGGATTACATCAACAACAATGAGGGTTGACATTACGACTGCATATTTTAACCCTTTTTATTTTATGCTGTTACATTTTAGGATAATAAATTACAATGAAAGCATTTAAAAATTGTATATCCTCTCAATTCAACATAACAAATCCAAAATTATTAGCTCATTAGCACTGACATACCTGGAAAAAAATGTGTTTCTTTTTGTAAGACCAATGCATTTTTAGAAAATATGCTTGTTTAAAGGATATTTAGCTTGATTAAACTTAAGAGCGTAAATATTGAAAAACGTATATTTACTCTCATTTCAGAGCCTCACCTTTAGATGGGCCCAGTTGGTGGGTTAGCTGATTGGTCAAATATTTGGCTTTTATTTTTTAATATAGTCTTTCTAACAACTAGGCTATGGTAAGAAACAACAGGCGACAAACTGCAGAGTTCAGAATATCTAATCTGTGTTCAGAACACAGCAAAATGTCAGTTTTTATCATGATACGATTACATCTCTAGCTTATTATTTGCAGAGAAAGAATGAGAGAGTATAGTAATAAAAATGTTATTACTTTTCTTACATGGTCAAGGTGCTTCCACTCCTCAGCCCACTCTCTGTCGGTCAGCCTGTGGTCAATCACTTCCTCCTGCCTCGTCCCCGAATGCATTCCTGCAGAGAAGAAACAGACAAGCAGATGAAATTTACGGAGATGAAGACGCAGGGGAGAGATGAATGTATATGCACTCTTCTCTCTTTCGTTTTGTTCCCATTTTACTCCCTCTATCCATTTGTCTTCCTTCTCTGCCCACCCATTTCCTCACAGTCTCCATTTTTCTCTCTCGCACCCTGAGGCCAAATGACTGAACTTCTTGTCCAGTTAACATCCATCACAGGGTGAGACATAGTAAATGTTTCTGCTATATTTAGAACAGAACCAAAATGGTCTTTAGAGCCTCCCCATAGTGTATTTGTAAAAACTGTATTTGATACAACAACACGCCAAAATGCGCACTATTGAGAACTCATAAACTGTATTTCTCAGCTTCTATTAGTGGCTAAAAGCTAAATTGTTGCTCATCAGTAAGTGCTTAACTGGAAAACTAACATTCTTCTAATTTAAACTCTAAATCACGCGATATTATGTTGCTCGTGGGTTGTTTGCTATAAACTGCAGCACCAAACAACTCTGCTTTGGTTTCCTCTGTCCGTGGAAAAGTGTCCCCTAAAGACACTCCGACTTCTCTCTGCATGTGCACATACGATATGAAATAGCACAAACACAAAATCTGAAGTTGATATGAAATCCTTACCAATGGGCCTGGCTCGCTCTCGGATCTCTCGATGGTTGGAGGTGGGGTGTCTATACGTGTCGCGGTAATGATGGGCGATGGCCATGTCGTCTAGCCTGTAGTGCTGTGGGGGAATTGGACCTGGATGGGGCAAGCCATTGGGTTGGTAGGAGAGCCCATTGGATGGACTAAAACGCTGGGCGGGGCTAATGGTGCAAGGTCGTTTGCTGGGGTGGGCATCTGGGTGCATTGGGCCTTCCCGCTCAAAGCCGTTCTCTTTGGTCCTGAGTGGAAACACAGAACCATATTTTAAGAAGTCTGGAGCAACAAGGGAACATCAAGATCATTACCCTTCATTATTATAAAAAATGGCTTTAATGGCAACTTTTCTCTCAAAGCAGTTCTATTTCTAGTTTGGAACCAGTGCGTCTATAGCACCAATTTGTTTCTCCTTTTCCTGCTTTGACCACAAAATCTCTGGCTCTGGCACTGAAAATCTGGTACTACAGTAAGTACAAGCTCTTTGTTGGATCCTCTGAAGGTGGAGTTATGGAAACCAACAACAACCAACAAAAATGTTTAAAGGGTCATATAGGAAACTATAAAACCACATAAAGTTGTGCTTGCAATCACTGTTTTCAACTGGTTTTATAAACTACGTCTGTCTCTCCATTTCAACTGTTGACATTTTTTTTGCATGGATCTGTGTGCAATTTCCATTTGGACCACTTTTTATGAACCATCAGAGGTTGGGAACATCAAGCGGCATCACAAAGAGAATTCACAAATACTAACAGTTGCTTACAAGAGAATGGTAATAAACAAAAACATCTGTTTTCAAGGATAATGAAACAAACTCTGTAATCTGCGGAAATCCTGAAATATGAATCTCCACAGAAACTCAGAATACACCTGAGAGAGGATCAAACATTTACTGGAAAACAGATTTGATTTAAGGTAAAAGCATGAGTGGCTGCCAAACAGAACTGCTTGTCTAAAGCTTTAATAAACCTAAAGTAAAGTAAAGCCTAAACTTGTTCCAAGAAAAATCAGATTAAAAACAAACAAACAAAAAAAAAATCCAACAAAGTTCAGTCAGGTCATCTGGACAGTTTTTTTTTTTGTTTGTTTTGTTGTTGAGACGTTTCATCCTTCATCCAAAGGACTTAATCAGGACTGAGTTTGTTGTGGCTCCTCATACTGATGAAGTCCTTTGGATGAAGGACGAAACGTCTCAAGAAAAAAAATAAACCGTCCAGATGACCTGACTGAACTTTGTTGGATTTTTTTACCTGGATTATTGAGCATGAACTTTGAAACCAAAATAATGATCCATCTTCAACATACTATTGTTCTGTCACAGTTAGGCATAAAATAAAAATGGTACGGGGTAAACAGTGTTACCGACTTTATTTTGTAAAATTAAGTGATACGATTCCAGTGTTTAAATGTATTCTTTATAAAAGTGCAACAGCTCTGTTGTTGTCACTGTTTGATACCAGCCTCCAACCTGATGAAGTAACTGCTATGAAAGGTTGCATTCCCTGGAATCACCTAGGGATTTTTAAATTTATTTTATTATTTTTTAACTTGAAAACGAGTCAATTTATACATGCATAGTTAAAGCTTGCTCACACAAATTACAGGCACACAGACACAAACTCACACAAGTAGTTTCCAGGGGATCAGGTGGATTTTAGTTCGCCTGCTTCTAAAGATTAATGTGGCCAGGTGTGTTTGTGTGTGTGTGAATGCTTGCACATATGTGCCTTTATGCCTACAGTATGTGCATGTGTGTGTGTGTGTGTTCTCAGCTTTGTCAGTTCACAGTTAAAACCTGCTAACCTCCTCTGCTATCCACAGTCCCCTGGTCTCCCCACCCCCCTTCTTTCTTGCTTCTCTTCTCTCCATCTCTCTCTCCGATGAACAGATTGAACTTCTTAATGAGCTGTTTTTATGGGCTCCTAATGCTCATCCACAGCTCTCCATATGCTCTTTTCTTCCATCCGTCCATCTCTCCGTCTCCCTCGGCTCGTCTACCCGCCCCCTCCCACTCTTTTCTCCCGGAGTCTTGCTGCTGCAACAATGTTTATATGTATATAGACTGTATGCACACACACAGTCACCACGACGATGCGCTCATGTTTGCTGATACATGATGTCGGATATGAATGCCCCACTTCATCAGTTTAGTTGAAACGTATCAGTGCACAGTTCTGTGATGACTTCTGTTACTATCTGTAGTTAAAAATGTATTTAAATAAAGGTGCTCCTTTAATAAGTTTTATTACTCTCTTCTCTCCTCTTTTTAACTCTTCTTTTGGCAAGAATCACAGCTTTTTGTTGTGGCTAAAAAGCTGCTTTGTTCATATTTGGGGAGTTTTCACTCATTATTTTTAGAAGAAAAACAAAAGCTTTGCAGTTTTGTGAGATGGTTTGGCTATCGTGCAAAGATGTTTTTGATGCTGTTTGGATCACAGGTCCGTCCGCCTCTACCTGGACTTTAAGTTGTGCTAAAGATCATCATGCTGTGCCAATTAAATGGATCAATAGAAAACAAGACAAAACAAGGTTATAACACCTTAGCACTTAATAGTGAGATGTTTGACGTTATAAAATCTTGCATGCTAACTGCTCCTAGCATGCAAGCACATTTTTTATTTCAATCAATGCTCAATTCTTGATTATGCCCCATGTTGTAGAGAGGATGGAGAAAAGAATCTTATGAATCTGACACAATAATGGTCTTAATTCGTTTATTTTATTTACGCAGCAGAACGATGTAGCAACACTCAACTTACTATTAAACAAAAACTTCTATTTATCTGTTTTTGCATGCATTTTTTACTAAAAATCTTCCTGTTCTTCCACCAGTCCAGTTACTCGTAATTATTGATTTTATGTGTGTACATTATAAGGTGAATTAACTGCCACTTGAAAATGCTTTTTTACTATCTCAAAAACAGCCTTCAGTTTTTTGTCAGTTTTGTTTTACATTTCATAAAGCTATGAGACAGTTTTTAAGAGTCCATAGCAGTAAGTGGTTACAGTAAAATATTTACCAAGATTAGAGTTTTCTTTTAAACACATGGACTCAAGCTGCAGCTCTAACAATTCCAGTAATGTCTGAGACCTTCTTAAATGTTTTTAAAATCGGAACGTTGCCAAAGCTTTTGCATAGTTTCCCTTTTGTTCTTTCACTCTAAAATCGGACAAAGTATTTAACCCTTCAGTCTTCCTTACAGGAAGTCACACATTAACCATTTGTCCCATTAAAGCAATAAATCAGGTTATTTGAAGTGGGGTTCTGCGGATATGGCATGAACAAATAATATCTTACCTGTTGTCGTGTCTCTTTGAACAACTGTGTTTAAGAAAACAAACTTTAATAAAGAAGAGTCAAACTGAGCTGGGACTGAACAAAAGAATATCAGTGGAATATGACGTTATGAAATTATAAAATATGATTTGTCACTGCTGGAAATATCAGCCACAAAATAAACAAAGTTTGACTAAAATAAATCATTTGTATGAGTGGCTTTGCAATGTTAGCTACTGCCTAAATGATGCTTTTTCTTCGAGTCTTTACAGCAGACGTTTTGCAGTATGCGTCCTACACTCCATGCCGTGATATTTCTGGACTGTTTTCAGCACACTATCATCTTAATTAGTATTAATTAACGGCCTGTTGTTGGTGCTAATTAAGGATTTCCAGTCCGATTCCAATATTCAGACGCAAATTGTTAAAAGTGGGAATGCAGAGCAAAGGTAAGCAGAAACAAGAGGTGCTTAGCCAGCCATAATGGTGCTGCGGCCTCATCTGTATGTGTTATCTGCCCGTCTCCCCAGACACCCCCCACCTAAAACACACACACACACACACACACATATGAAGCAAACTCACACTATCACATTGAATAGAGAGCCTCACACACACATTCACACACAGAGAGACTGTTTTCTCGCCGAATACAGATACCTCTTTACTCTCTCACTCTCCTCCCACATTTACAAATGCACCTTTTCTCCTCAGCTCACTCCCCTGCGCACCAGACGGCCAGCAAATATGCATGTATTACAAAAAAAAAGTCTTGCTATCCCATGGTTGGGGGAAACGAGAGGTGAGAATTATTAATAAACACATTCAGCAGTTTTGGCCCTCAGCAGATATACTATGTTCACTTTCCATTTCCTCGTCTGCGTTAAAATTTTAAACCGCTGGGACTTCCTTCCAAAGTACAGTGCTTGCATTGTACTTGTAGCGCAGACAAAAATGCACCACAAAACACTTTTTGTTCCAACATCTGTCTAAAAACTTGCAAAATGCTTAATAATGATAAAGGCAATGAGCATAAGGCTGTGGTTTTGTGAAGATCCTGGAGTCAGTTATCTTTTTAATTAGTAAAGGCACAACATCTGCAATGGATTAGTGTTATTCATTTTTATTTAAAAAAATGACCCTTACTTAGATGTGCTACATATTAAAACATTTCAGTGGTTCAGACAGATTTGGTGCTTGCTCTTAACTCATAAATTTTGAAACACTGAATATTTACACACATGAAAATCCTGTAGAAATAAAGGACTCATATACAGTTTCTTCCTTTTTTAAACTTTCATTATGTAGATATGTGTCCAGGTATATCCAGATACATGTTTCCCATTGTTTCTTCTCAGTTCTGACCCATTATCAGGTGTAGCCAGGAGCTTGGATGTCCAGCAGAGCAGAGCATGAGATCCGGTGGAGCTCTTATGCTTCCCATACGTACCATTGCTTTGTATGGGCTCAGCTTGCGCTATGGGAGTAACAGCTCATGGGGATGCAGACACCCTCAAAGGGATTTATGCATGAGCTCAGACGATGGAGAAGAAGGAAATGTTCAGCGACTGTTAATTTTATAAACTCCAAATTCTTCCCCTGAGCGCTGTTCAGAATTTTGAGATTCACTCACCTGTCCGGCGTTCTTCTTTTGCCGTTCTCGTTGACGTCCAGCAGGAGTTCTGAGGAGTCCACCGGGGACGTGGTGCTGGTGTCCAGGAGTAGCTGTTCGTGTTGAGCCAGGTACTGAGCTGGGTTCTGCTTGGCTAGCCTGGCGCAGTGCAGTAGCTCCCTCTGAAGGAGCGGCAGGTTGGCCTACAGCCGAAATAAGGTTTCATTTAGTAAGAAGATCAAATGGAACAAAAAATGATGCTCTCAATTGAGTTTTTTAAGAAATCAGATGCAATATCAAACACCTAGCATTCCTTAAGTACATCGAAAGTCACTTTTTACGCCAGAGTTTAAATTCAAAATAATCCTGTAATGAAAAGGGATGCAACTAAAGACTTTGTAGCCAAACCTTAAAAGGATTATTATACACGGTTTTTCAATATTTCCAGATCTGTTAGCGCTTACTGTTTGTATTGTGAATGACTGTCAGTGACTAACACACTAAATTTTGTTCAATATCTATAATATTAACTGACTTAAAGTCATTTTTGAGTTGGATAAGGTTGATTAGCTGTGGAGGTCATCTTTAATTGGGTTGACTCAAAAAGTGAGGGTTAGGGTGATTGGTACTTTCTAAGGCTTTCAATACAACAACAAACAAGGCAAAAATGTTACTGCACTTTTGCAAATCACCCTTTTAATTTCTACACAGAGTGCATTGACAGTCACAAAGTCATTTTTATTTATTTTTATTCTATACAACACCAGAATGTTTAAAAGAGCAGCACATATTTTAATTCCCTTTTGACGCGCCGTAACAGGACGGGTCTGCTCTCTCGTACGGAGTCACGGCGACACGCAGGTATACGAGCATCCACTTCAAAGACATCTGATGGTGCGTGTTTCGAAGCAAGAAGATGAAAGTGTTGCATCAGGGCGGCTCAGAAAGCGAATGGGGGGGGGGAGACATTTTGATGGGATGCATCACATGAGCCTTTGAAGGGGGGTGGGGGTGGGGTGGCAAGATATTTGCAAACTTTAAGTCTGTTAATCATTTTGTTTCATCCTAAGAAGTAAAATCTCTGTCTAAAAGTATCCTGTTTTTCATTTTATCCTAATGCCGCCTTTATTTTCTTGGAAATGAATTTTCATTTGCTGTCATCTTTGCCAAGAGAAATAAATGGTACACAGACTATTTCTATACCGGTAATTTGTTTTGTGGTATGAAGGCTATATGAAAATCGCCCCCCAGTCATTGGCTGCACTAAAACAAATGCCAAGTGCTGGCCCTTAGCTTTACCGGCCCAAAGCTAATGGTCCGTTAATAGTTTATGATGATAATTACCTTCGGGGGGAGAATCTAAAATAAATAGCTTTGACCCCAGTGAACTTATCTTTTATTAATTAGAGGTAATCCTTATTGCAGTGAGATGTTGGAGGCATTAGGAAAAGGACTAAGTCAAGAAAAGCAGCTGCTGCAGCGGCTAAATCATTTTTCTTATGATAAAGTGTGATGATTTACTTCTGTGCACAGCCACTGTGCTAACACACACACACACACACAAAAAGAAAGGAGGAATGTTTGTAAGTAGTTTTCAACAACCAGAGCAAAAACATGCTCAATATGTTTTATCACTTGATACCTGTTATTGACATTTTGTCAAATAGGGCCCCCCAAAACATAAAAAAATCTGAATCCACTGCCCTTTTTTTTGGTGTTACTTGACACAAGAGGTATATAATGAGCTAGGCTTTGTATGTTCACAACTTATTCTCAACAATGTTTGTATCGGAGAGCTCCACTCACAAGAATAGCTGAGCACTTTGATGGAAAAAGCTCAACTTTTACGTGAAAACAGAGTAAAATTATGGCAAATCTGCAGCGGGCATCCAGCTAGCACATCACGTCACCGGCATTGTGTGGTTTCTGATTGCCTCCTTCCAGTAAAAGACTCCAAACCAATTTGTGGTTTTAGCATTAAGAAAAAGCAAAAGGAGTTGAAGACAGGGATGGGGGGAGGGGGGATTTTTTTTGTCCAAGGGCTCGACTTGGTATAACATTAGTGTAATGAAAAACCATGAGCCCTGACGTGCATTGTTGCAGCTGAGATTCGACGCACCTATAAAAGCTCCCCCACACCTCCAACTGCTCCCTGATACCATATGGCAGCTAACATTAAAGGTCCCACAGTGGCAAGACACTAAAATTAGACTGGGGGAGGGAATGAGCAATGCAGAAAAAAAAAGGAAGAAAAGTTGCAGCTTTGATTCCACAGCCATCCCAGTGATGCACTCACCATCTGGCAAGGAGAGGAGAAGGGAATTGGAGGATGGATAGAAGGATGGAAAACAGTAAGGCGAGGACACGAAAGGAGAAAGAACGAACAAGAAGGTGACTGGTAGGAAGGAGAAATTGTACAAATAGGTGGGAATGTAAGATAAAGGGTTACGAACACTATTTGCACCATTAACAGGGAGTAACGGCAGCTTGGATGGGATCCATTCCATCGCCGGGGACCGTGACAGATTTAAAGGACAACATGAGCTTATTAAAATGCCAGTCTGCACATGTATACATCTGAAATCACAGACAGTGAATAAATAATATCTACCTCCCCGACACAACAAATGGACTAATAAAGGAAAGTTACAAAAAGAAGACAATGAACCAATAAAGATACATTTTGAAAGAAAGAATAAAAACAGTCTTTTGCAGAACAAACTCTGCAGTAATAGTTTCACCTCTCTCTTCCTTAGCTCTCGCAGATATTGATCTCACCTGAGACTCCATAACACGATTTAAGGTGAGACTGCACAGTACATCCCTCAATATAACCCCCCCAAGACCCATTCGTCATAATCACAACACCACCAGTCTCGCCTCCAGTGCAGACAAGCAGCATATGCAGCTACCTGACAGAAAATGCACATGAATGACCAGAGGTCCACTTGTAGACACAAACACAAGAAACACCATTTCTCTTCATTTTCAGACTGGAACAGAGACGAGAGGCACGCTCTTCTACAGAAACAAGGCAACAAAAGCATACTCCTTATCTCGAATATAACACTATGCTAACGGCTCAAAGTGAGATATACTTGCTGAAAATGCATCTTTATGGGGACGAAAAATGAATGGCAAAACAAATCTGAAATGATGGAAAACAAAAACGACAAACATGGGAAACAAGCCTAAGGTTTTGTGCTTTTTCTTTGTCTTAAAATACAAAACCTGTGCAAGATTGAAGCTGAGAATAAAGACTTCAAGATAATATGACTAGAAAGCATTCAAAGGCTTTAAACAAAGGTTTTATACCATACCATACCATACCAAACCATACCATACCATACCATACCATACATTCATAAATAAAGATCAAATTCATTCAACCTTTATTTATACAGGTTAATCCCATTGAGCCTTGGGGGCTCATTTACAAAAGAGATCTGAATACCATACCATACCATACCATACCGTACCATACCATACCAAACCATACATACCATACCATACATACCATACCATACCATACCATACCATACCATACCATACCATACCATACCATACCATACCATACATACTATACCATACCATACCATACCGGCTTTATTTATTGAGCACTTTAAACAGCCACAGGACCAAAGTGCTGTACACATAATAAAACATTCATACAATCTTTTGCTATGTAAGATTTTATACAGTTTATTTGTACTTAAAGTGTGTATTGGGGAAGACTCTCAGCTATTGCATCCATGGTTCATGAGATATTTGGCTAAAATTCAACCTTTCATGGATGTGGGAGATAATAATAAAAACAAAAAGGAGTTTTTTTTTTTTTCAATTAGCAAAGAAAATAAAAGATGCAAGACAGTAACCTATGGTTGAAGAATAGACATAAAGCTCCTAGAGGAGGAATCATGATGAGCAATACCATGAACATAAGTGGGAACATCTGGATCTGAACTGGCTAAATGCTTTCCAGATTGCAAAGGAAGAAAAAACAAAAAACTTATGTGAAGCGTTTACCTTCAGAAAAGGTACGACAAAAGGCCGCAGAGGGAAGTTGGTGGCTTCTTGGAGCTTGGAGTGAAATTCCTCGATGGTTAGCGTGGAATTCTGGAGGAGAAGAAAGAAACAGAGAGAAACCCCATGAATCCATGTGGAAGGCATTAAGTGATAATATTACTTATTGGGCGCAAAGCTGTGTCCTGGCACGGAGCGAGTGTTTTGGATTCTGTAATGTGAAGCACATGGGGCAGGTCAGGGCAAAAAGAGCCTCGCAAAACAAAGACACACATGCAGAAGTTTAATAAAATATTGTCTGTTATTGGCTTTGGAGCAAGTTCCACACTCAAGATTTTAAAACAGGTTATTTTATTTTTTTCTTAAAACTTTAAGACTGTTCAAATCATTTAATTAGCTTCTGACAGCAGCAAAACCACCTTAATCTGAAATATTATATTGGTTGTGAAGTGGGTAAACTAAGTACATCATCTTGTATTTATTGACATGATTTACTGGATAGTTAGAAGATAATTGAGTGTTAATTTATGCTTTGCTGTCTTTATGTCCAATTAATTGGTCAGCTGATTAATGAGGCTGATTATTGACACTTTTAAAAATATTTGCATCAGCCAGGCCCGAGTTTATTATGTCGATAAACAGGCAGGCACATTTGCGGACAGCACGGTGTTGCTACACTACACCCTGGATCAATTAGACATCGCTTCTTGTGACAACGAGAATAACCTTTTTATGGAAGGGCTGCTTTAAAAAAATTTTTTTTTTGCACAACACAGATAAACCACAAGGGAAGCTGGCTCAAAGTTTATGATAACGTTTGAAGGAACAATGTGGTATCGACCTGACACAATATTAAAGCTTTAACTTTTAAAAGTTTAAGAGGGTGCTTTAGGTGGGGGACACTTGGTCGGTGTCATAAGCAGTTCCTTACATAGACCATCAAACACCCAAACATAAGCATTAGCCCCATCTTTCCGAATCACGTTTTATTTTCTCATTTTTTAAATCTAGTAAATTATATTGTGTCTGAACAAGTAATCATATTACTTATGAGGCGTATACAAACAAAAAGACTCCCATCTTTTTTATATCAGTAGCTCTTCAGCAGTTTTGCTCACCAAAAAGCTCACATCGGTCAACTTTTAATTTTATTGTCCACAAAACTCATTGCGCTAAAATCATGCTGTAAAGAAGAGTGGCTCAAAATTCCTGCAGAGCCACGTGAGAGACAGAAAGAGCCTGCTGAGAGTTAGTGCTGAAAAATGGTGGCTCTGCAAGGGGTTTACTTAATTTTTCACAAAGTTGACCATTTTAGCTCGGTTTTTATTAAATAAATAATGGCATGGTGTAATCTGTTTTTTGTACATTTGAGTCCAGGTTTAATCATTTTAGAACCTGGTAAAGATCAAATAATCTTTATTATGTCTTAAACCTCAGAACTGAGAGTGAAATGTTCAAATCTGTCATTCAACACAACCCAGAGAAAGAGGCACCACACACTATTTATCTACACATATCCTGGAAATGTCTGTCGTCTAACTCCTCTCCTTTCATTTTCCCGTTAATGACTGACGTGTTAGCGTGGACGCTATTTTTAATTTCCAATATAAAGTATGGATGAGTGAAAACGACGGGGAAGGAGCTGAACATGAGATGGAAAAGTAACTGACAAACGAGAGGAGGAAAAGAAAAAAACAAACAAAAATAAATCAAGTGCGACAGAGAGCATTAAAAAAAACGCAGCACATATTATTTTTTTTCCTTCCGCGCGCTCCGTGTTATTTCCCAGACCTGAATTTTGTTACATTCAGTCTTACATCTGTTCGCCCAGATTGCGTCGCAGCTTTTCTTGACAGCTAGTGAAACCTCCTGAGTCTCTGTCCCTCCTTCTCCCCTGCACACAACCAGCTAATTAACAGTGTCACTCTTTTCAATAAGGCAGGAGTGGAGGGGAGCAGAGAAAGAAAAAGAAGAAGGGAGGGAGGGGGGAGAAGTGTAAGCCAAAAGGACACAGGAGAGACATGTACACATGTAGACAGTGAGGAATATAAACATAGTGCAGCCAAAAGCAGGTTATCCTCTGTGTGACTAATTAAAAAAATCCCTCCTCTGTCTCCTCTGCTTCCTCCCCGTCTTTTCTGCACAACATTCAATCACTATTTCTGCGTTCCCCTGCTCATTAAGCTCAAATTTTCTCTGATCACAGCCTTGATATACTCGTGTCAGCTAAGCTGCAGAGCACATCTGTCTTTTCTAATCTCTGCTGGATAGATGGGTTTTGTTTGCAGGCTTTATTTGTGTAGCATCTGAAATTTGTTTAACTCCGTTTGAGTTGGCTCCTTAAAAAAAAAAAAAAGATTATTAAAATAGTATGCGTCATGCTTTTTGGAAGGTTTTTATTTAAAGTTAGAAATAATGACAGACAAGCGCAAACTCAGGTTTTCATTTATCTGAATGAAAACTGGTTTGATGGTAGAATAAGAAGACTGTGAGGTCCATGTTTTAAATTGGATATGAAATTAAAAAAAAAGTGGCAGTAAAATATTTTACAAATCAGGTGTGTAAAACAAAAATGTTCCAATCCAGCTCCATTTTTCATCTTACATTTATTGTGTGAATGTTTATGAAGCATTCACACTGTTGTGATCCATTTTTCTTCCATATGTTTTTTTGCAAGCTTCTCGCCCCGCAGTTTTCAAGCTACTTCAACAACTCACATTTCAAAACGTTCAGCTCTTTCAGGAGAAGGGTGCCATGACTTTTAGTATTAGAGCAACTTTAGCTTTTTGAAATATTTGGCCTTTTCTGGCATTTTTTATTTATTTATAGAAAATGAATTGAGCTCATTTTTACATCCTTCAAATCTTTAGATCTGTTTACAGCCTTTTACTTCTCCTTTCATATTTTTTTCTGGTTCAGCTTCTTTCAGCTGTTTTGTCCTTCTTTCAAAGTATTTCTGTTAACAACAACATTTTTGTGTTTCTTCTAACTTCTTTCTGCTAATTTCAGCTTCTTCTGCTCCTTTCAGTTTATTTTTTGCAAGTTTAAGCTTTTTCTGCTATTTCAGCTACTATTTATCAGTTTTTATGCTGATTTTAGCTTTCTCAGCTAATTCCACATGTTTTGCACAAATTTAAACTCTTTTCAGCCTAATTGGGCACATTTGTGTTCTCTCCACTTCCTTCTGGTCATTTAAGCTTATTTATGCTTTTTTTTTAAGCTACTTTTCATCTGGATTTTGCTCATTTAGGCCTTTTCAGATAATGTCCACATTTTTGTGCTTGTTTCTTCTATTTTCAGCCTAACTGGGCAAACATGCATTATTTTTGTTTTCTTCTGCTAATTTAAGCTTGTTCTACCCTTTCAGCTACTTTTTTATTTATTTATTTATTTATTTATTTATTTTTAGAATTTTTAGCTAATTTCAGCTGTTTAAGATATATTAAAATTTCTTATGGTAATTTCTGCTATTTTCTGCCTAACTAAATTATTTCTGCTAATTTCAACTTATCTTTCACCTTTTTCGTGCTAGTTTCAGCTTTTTCAGCTATTTCAGCTACATTTTAGTTGTTTTGTGCTAAATGTAGCTTTTTCAGCTATTTCCACTTTTTTTTTAAAGCTCATTCCAACTCCTTCCATTTCTTTCTGGTAATTTAAGATAAGATAAGATAAGATAAGATAAGATAAGATAAGATAAGATAGAACTTTATTGATCCCGCAGGAAATTGTTGTGCCTTAGTTGAAGCTTCTTTCTGACTTTTCGCCTAGTTTTCAGCTATTTGTTTAGATAATTTCAGATTTTTTTTTAGCTAATATCCTTATTTTTGTGTTCATTTCTGCTTTTTAAACATAATTCAGCAAATATGTTTTTTTTTTGCTTTTGTTAGCTAATTTAAGCTTTTTCTTGCATTTTAGCTACATTTCAGCATGTTTTTAGCTACTGTAATTTCAGCTGTTTTTCAGCAAGTTCTTCAGCAATAAGCCTTCACACTGCATTTTCGCAGGAAATATAATTTCTCTAGTTTGAATTACACTGAAGAAGTCCAGGTGGAAAATATATACTCACAACCTGTATTTAAAATTAAATACAGTGATGTAAAATTATTCCATTTGAAGCAAAAATCCTCCAGGAAAAGTCCAAATCATTTACAAGTGAAAAAGATTTTATTACAATACATAAAGATATTGAAGTAAAACTACTTATTTGATATTTTTGACTTTGGTTCCAAGGGGACAGCAGAAAAAGTTGACGTGTTATCAGAAGAATGGAGTTAGATAAAATAGAAAAAGTCCAGTTTTGTTCCCCAAATTTGCTTTTCCTGTTTAAACATTTTATTTCTCATGACTAATTTAAACATTTATTATCAGAAAACCTCACAAATTCAAAGCAAATGTGCTTGACCGTTTTCACTCCATACAGATATTGGGCTAGTCAGCTGTGCCTTCAAAGACAGGAAGAAGAAAAGAAGTGAGTGATTTCTTATCAGAAGTTTGATGCAGTTTTTGTGTCCGCTTGGTCCCTGAGTAATAAATACTTTAAATGTGGATATTAAAAAATTTCTTCACACATTGTTTTCTCAAAACAAACATCTACGTCATTATTTTTTTCTTCTGCCTGTGGTTTGTCTTGAGGTCTTACTTGTGTGTTTGGTACCGCATTTTGAATAAAGTTCTACTATCAAACTTTTAATGAACATCTGGGTCTTACAGATGTTTGCAGAGGGACCTGGCTCTTGCAGTCAGATGAATCACCATGAGTTAAACCTTACACTGTCTGACTGACAAATAAAACAACAACGATTTTAGATTTTTTTTTAACTTCCAATTCTTAAATACATTTAAACCAGTGCTATGAAATATCCAACAAATAAACCTTCCATGATAGTCACAAGTATACGGTTACTACTTACCACAAGCCCCAGCACTAATGTGCGGACTCGTTCGCCAATTTCAGGTGAGATGTCGTTCCCAAACTGCTGTAAGGTTGTGAGGAAACGCTTGAGCTTGCTGAGCTGTCGGGCACCGCAGGCTGGTGGAAGCTGCTGGTTGGCCAGAGAAGAGGATGAGGACGAACTGGGACCATTGCTGTAGCCATTTGGAGGCGATGGGGCTCCATTGAGGGCTGTTGGGGAGTGACTACTGCCATTGGTTACTGTATGAGACAAGAACATGAAGAATAACAATTTTTACGTAAACAGATATTTATTTACAACTGTCATTTTCAGCCAAAAGCAGATTACAAGTAAAGTGATTTTCAATTTATTGGAAATTTCTACAACGATAATTTCTCCAGCAAATGGTACTAAAGGAAAAGAGTAATTCAGCATTATGGAAAACTATCAACATATTTGAAATGATCAGTCCTCCACATTTGTTTCCAATTGTTGCATCTCGTTTGGTCCCTTAAGATACTCTAAAATAATACTTAGAGACACAATGTCTCCTTCCATCTCCCCCCTCTGCAGTCTAAACAAGCTGGGACAGTGAGACCTCCAGTTGTTTCAGACTGCGGGAACAAGCTGTGTGAGTGTGTGTTTCTGAATGTTGGGGGAGTTGGCATACAAAGAGATACAAGGCGGCATAAAGCTCTCTCTTTAATGAGATTAGCTTTTGACTAGCGATACACTCACTCCCTCTCTGGCCGCCGTCCAAAGCCGCCACTGTAAAGAGCGGAGCGAGATGCTCGAACTGCATCTGGTAACAATTACGTCGGATGGAAATCAAAGTGTGCTGCTTTGTTAAAACCTTTGGCATGAGTAATGAGAGAGCCGGGCCTTTCCTCTCTCGCTGCACGGAAAGCTCAACTCGCTAATTGTGGAGTGCGAGCATATAGTGCAGCAGAATAAGACAGACACAAAAAAAGAAGGGGAAGTAGTTCCAAGAGGTGGAAAAAAGGTGGAAAAAAAGAGGTAAATAAACCCCCAAAATAAATCTGTTGCACAGACGAAGAGCTGCTAGGACATGTTGGAGTGCTCGGAGCTTTCAGAGCAACAGGGCCTACGTTTTCTTGATTCTAGTGCTCTTCCTGCAAGTGCTCAAGTGTCTACTTCTTAGAGAATACAAGGGTGTAATTTGCTCATCACAAGCAATGTGCGTGTCATGGCAAAGCTCCAAGAGCTCGTAAGCGAGGGCGTTAATGAACTTGCTGAGGGAGCTGTTTGCCATTCGAAAAGACTCAATGTAACTCAATACAAAGGTCTTGATATGCAAATGTACCCCAACCCCCACCACTTCGTTTGTTTTATTATTTAAATTTTGTGAAGGACCTCCTATATGAACCTGAGTGATTCTGTGCATTTTTGCTGATGCTTTTAATATTTGCAGCTCTTTAATTTGAACTGGCCTGGGCTCGCTGTCAGATCTATTTATTAAAAGTTGAAAGTAAGGCATATGCGGAAACACTTAAGCACTTTAAATGTTAGGTTAAATTAAACAAAACTTGGTGGAAAGCAAATAAAAACTCATTACTATTTTGTATTATGTTAATTAAAACTGAACAAAGGTATTAACATTAGTAGTATCATGTTCTGTGGGAGAGTTGAACCCAGGATGCAGATAGACGCAAGGACTCAAAGGTAAAAATAATGAAAAAAATGGGTTTATTAACCAAAAAACACAAAGCAAAGGCTGGTGTGGCAGCAACTTACATGAATGATGGTTTTGGGGAGACATGGAGGAAAAGGGCGTGAATGGCTGTGGGAAGCACAATGCACGGACAAGGGAGGGATAAAATGACTGGTTTTAAGGGGACACTAATGACAAGCAATGGCAAACACCTGGGGAGGAGGAACAGGTGAGAATGGAAGGGGCAGGAGCTGAGCTACATGGGGCAAGCTGGAAACACAAGTAAAATCAAAATCACGGAAAAACTAAATACAAGAACTGCAAGAAGAACAAAACACACAGATAGACTGAACTCTACTTGTTAGTCTGTTTACAATTGTTCATTCACTGTGCAACACAACAATTACTGTAGCAAGTTTACTGCGAGAGCTTTACGCACTGACAAGAAATCTACGGCACTGGTTTTGTTTCCCACCTTTCTTGATGTCTTCCCTAACCTTAGGACCAATTCAACGTCTGACTTCTTTAAGTAAAAATCAGGCCTAGTCATTGCACACATTGATTTCTGCTTTACTCACGTGTAGTGGGTGTGTAGGAGCTGTTTCGGGGTGGCCCTTGCGTACTGGGTGGGGGTGGCATGGTAGGGGGCGTCAACCTGGACTGTGACTTGACATCCGCAGGTGAGTCGGGCATGGTGGAGCGCTTCCCAGTGCGATCTGAAAAGAGAAAAGAGGAAGAGGAAAAGATGAGGATTAGCTCAAACCAACAGTTCACAGTCAAGTTGTTCCTTCTTTTGTTTTCACATCAGTGATACTATAAGAAATGAGATAAAAGAAGAAGAAACTCCCAAATGTAAAGGCATCTGTGAGAAGAATGTAAGGCCAAATAATCACATGTAACTCATTCCTCTTACATTTTAGGTTTACCCCTACACTTTGAGTATTCAGGACAGGGGAAAGAGGTCTTGATATTGATTTGTAACACAAAGCAATGCTAACAGGACAGGGGTTCTTTAGCTCTTATTAAAATAATTTTTCAGGGTCATACTTCAGAACAAAGGGGTGAGCTGCAGTATTTTCCCTATAAAAATAGATTCACAGGTTCAAAGTTTATTATAAAATTCAGTTTGATGTGTTGTATTTGGTCACTTTTTCCCAACTGCATTAAAAAACAATGCAGTTTTATTTGAATAAAATCATTAATCTAGAAACAATACCACTAGTTTAGTGTATTCTGGTGTATTACATTTGGCACTGTTTTAAATATCATTTATATGTTAATTCAGATGCAGGCTTGATAGCTAATTCACACACCATTTTGGTATATTTTTGGAGAGTGGAGTTCCAAACTTTAAATTGCACAAGCTCCACTCTTTAATGGAAAATTCTCCATGGATGGGAAGAGAAATGTTGTTAACTACAGAATAAAAGTCCAGTTGTTTTGTTTTTCAATTTTTGGGATTATCCATGTCCTGGATGAGTGAGAGTCTACACCAACATATATTTTGTGCATAAGGACATTGCGTCTTTTTTTTTAGGGATACACGATATTATCGGCATGGTATCGGTATCAGCTGATATATAGATAGATAGCGTTAAAGTTAAATATCGGACATCGGCCATTCCATCAAAATAACTCACCGAAATAAAATGCGCTGTTTTTGTATGAAAACCCAGTGACAAGGATGCCTGCAGTGCTGGCACAATGTGATGACGTCACGGGCGCCTATCTGATCTGATCACGGCGGAGAGGAAGAAGTCAAAATGTCAGCGGTGTGGAAGTTTTTTATTTTGTTGAGGATGTCAGATTCTGAAGATTTTTGGACTACACTGAGCCTCACTACATCGTCCTCAGTCAGAAATATTTTTCTGATGTAGCCTTACCTGAGTTACAAGCTATCATTTCCAATGTCATTGAGAAGCTAATAGTGATAGCACTTGGGTGAGTTTTACCACAGAGATTTGCATGTCGTGTTAGCCCCGTTAGCATGATCAGTCTTACGGCACAATGGATAGAAAAAAACTGTGAACTGAAAAATGCTGTCCTTCATGCACAGGAGTGCAGAGGATCCCTCACTGCAGCTAAGAACCTGGAACAAGCCTCCACAAGTGAGACAGCATTGCAGGTGACTAATGCTAATAAATAATATTTAACACTTTTCATTTAATATAAGTTAAAGCACTATGCATATGGCTGTTGCTGAATATATGTCACCAGGTCTTACAGCTGTTACACAACTTTTGTAGCAAATAAGTCCAAATAAGAGGGATATGTTCTGACAAAGAAAAGTATATAAAATATCGGGATCGGTTATTGGCCAAATAAGTTTTAACATATCGGCCAAAAATCCAATATCGTGCATCCCTAGTCTTTTTACATGGTATAATGGATACCTGATGGTGGATCAAGTTGTTTAAGGAGTGTTTCAAGTCACAGTGAAATATTCTAACTGCTGCTCTTCGTGACTTTGTATCAAGGGCCAAGAGGTAGGGGTAATGAAACAAGATTTAGTCTAAATCTGCGATGAATTCATTCCAACACCATCTGTGCTGCACAGAGTGATCACAAAGCCCCTCCACTCCCAGCTAATGACTATAACCCTCATTATAATCAAACTGATACACAGTCACTGTCATTTTTTATTTTTGCGTTTATCACCCCATTTACCCAGCGGTGACATACTTCTAAAAAAGATTTGCGCAAAACCAAAGTAGCCTTTTTGATAATTTGCCCATTTCAAAATTGTTTTCAGCAGATAACAAATCACATCAAATACATGAGAACAACAGCGAGACATTATCTAGTCTTGCAGTAGCACAAGGGCAGAACCCTCTGTGGAAGGGGAGATACAAAACTTCTTTTGGCAAAAACGGTAACAAGCCTATCACTGTCAACAGACATCAAATCTCTCTCTTGTTGTAAAGTGGAGGTTATAAAAAATGGGCATAGGAGAGAAAAGGAATGGAAAGCAAGACAAAAGAGAAAGTGAAGGTAAACAAAAGAAATCATGGGCTAAATGGATGTGCAACACAGTAAAATGAAAATCACTCTAATCATGGAGAGATGTTCCACGAACATCACTGCTGTGGAGTTTCTTCACTACCACTTTCTTCAGTGTGTGTATTTTTTGCACAGAAAACACTTTAGCATTGTGCTGCTCTGCTGCAGGAGATGAGTTGCTCCTGAACTGAGACTGTATTTCACTAACTTTTAGCATTAAAAGGCAGCAAAGTAAGTGACGAAGGCATCAGCGAAATTCCAAACGGTGCTCTAAAGCGCTACTACTGATTGCCCAATCACAGTTTAGCTTATCTGGTAAGCTGACCCTGAAGACAACAGAAGGCGCATGATGTAACTGTGTGAAAGAATCAGGCTCGTAAACATCTTACATTAGAAATATACTCCGGACAAATGAATTCCAAAGAATCATGCAATAATATTTAAGATCTCCAGATTAGAAAGGTTTATTGCTTTGATATGGCTCACTGGACTGCAACTGTTAGCAACAGATTGTGAATGGCATTTGTGAGGCTTTTTTCCAAAACGTCTCAAAACATTTAAAAGGGGTCCAACATTTTTCAGTCAGGTCATTTGGACAGTTTCTTTTTTTGTGCTGAAACGTTTTGCCTTCAATCCGGAAGGCTTCATCAGTCAAGGAAACACACAACACAAAACTGATTCTTCCCCCAACAGCTTACTCCAACGTGGAACAAACAAAAAGTGGATTGTAACCTGGATTATTGAGCATGGACTTTGTTGTTTTCAAACAGTTTGACACGACTGTTAACAAGGAAGAGGGCTGGCAATGGAAGAGGGGGCGTACCAAAGAAACCATCTTAGCACCAACAAAACTGGTTTGTTCCACTTTGGAGTAAGCTGTTGGGGGAAGAATCAGTTTTGTGTTGTGTGTTTCCTTGACTGATGAAGCCTTCCGGATCGAAGGCGAAATGTTTCAGCACAAAAAAAGAAACTGTCCAGATGACCTGACTGAAAAATGTTGGATTGCATACCTGGACTATTGAGCATGGACTTTGTTATTTACAAGGGGTCTCATTTTTCTTGCGTGAGTCACAGAGCCTTGCTCTTGTTTTGCAGACATATTTATCAGGTTCAAAAATAAAATTACAAGACTTTTTTTAAATAGCACAGAGTGGTTGCAAGTGTCTGGAACCTGTCTATAACCCTTCTCAATTTAGTTTCTGTAAGTGGGAATGCTAGAGGAGTATTTTATTGTCAATATGTACAGATAGTTAAATAATGGCAAATTGTGGCACAATTTTTACTAGGGGTTTGTGCAAACGTGTAATTCAGTGTGATTTTATGGATACATTTCTGCAATTTTGTTTCTCCAATTAGTCAACAGTTGCAGTCAAGTGAGATGACTCCTAACCTGGCAATACATCCTCTAAAGCCCTATTTGAACGGGATTAGTTTTACCTAGGGACCACATGCTATTTGTAATAATTACGGAGATTGTCTGTGTTAATATCGTGCGAATCGGCCATGCCAGTAATTTGTAAAGTAAAAATTTCCTCGCAAATTACCTATTATATTTTGCTAAACTCTGAGGTCCTGTGATAATATTAATCCAATGCGAATAGGCATCTCTGTGATTTGGACAGAAATGGGTGGGATCCGAGACGTAATTAGGCGGCTTTTGTTTTTGTTTAAGCAAAATCATTTGGATAAATATAGAACAAGGCTATTTTAAATTAACATGCTGCTTGCTTTGGCTTTTATGCTGCTACATCCTTCACCGCAAATGACTGCAGGTGCGGAGATGCACGCATGATCAGCTGGCCCATCCATTCATCCATCCATTATATTCACCTGCTTCTTCTTTTTCGGGTAGCGGGAGTCATTGGTGCCCATGTCCAGCCATCACTGTGCAAGATGCAGAGGACACCCTGGACAGGTCGCAAGTCCATTTCCACCGGCGAGTCAGTGGACGCGTGGCCGTTGACAGGTTGTCCATCTGAGCTTAACATGGCTTTTTTTTTTTTACAAATAATAATAATAATAATAATAATAATGAATTTAATTTGTAACGCACTTTTCATTAACAAAAATCTCAAAGTGCTTTACCTCTTAAACCGGCCGGTCGGACCTGCCTCCTCCTCAACAAGTTGATTAACACAATTTTATATTGTGCATTATTTAGTTTTCTTTGTGCTGATTCGTAAAACCACATCAAGCCTGAGACCGTTCCGGACCGCACATTAAGAACATGATTATGGACTGGCCCGGTCGTGACAACGCAGCGCATTAACATCATATCTGGAAGATGTCCGTAAATTTCAGCTAAATCTCAGGCTTTGGTTATCTCGTGCGAATGCGCCACATAAAAAGCAGATGTTGGGGAGTAATTTATTTATTACATGTGATCCCTATGTAAAATTAATCTTGTGCAAATAGGGCTTTTGTCGCTCTGGAACAAAGAGTTTATATTTCTCAAAGCAGATGAACTTTTACGCAATTCTTTTGATTGCATGGGAACTGGAGATCTTAATGAGACCTGAATATAATACCTGAATACAGACCTGAAAATTCCACACAATTTCGTTCCACCACATGTACCACATATGATATGAATGACAATAAAGACACCTTGACCTTGACTTTGAATATAAAGATTTCTTGTCAGTATGAAATTAAGAAGATCCAACTCTTCCTTCTTACCTTGTGTCCCAAACACAACCTTTCTCTTTACTGTCAA